ATTCTGAACGAGAAATTCAAAGATTATTTGCGGGAATGTTCGAGGCCAGACCAAACAGAGAAACAATTCGACGAATCGTTAATAATTGCTTGTTCGAACATTTAATTTAATTTTTCAGTTTATTTATTTTTAGAGTTTTATTAGACCAGGGTCGATAATTTTTGAAACCAAAAAAAATAAAAGTAGGATGAAACCCATTGGAAAAGGAGAAGAATATAATAAAAATAAAAGGAAAAATAAATTACGGGCGATCTGACTTTGGGAAGTGGGAGGGGGGGTTTTAAGGGTAAAAAATGGTTTATCTCGATTTCCGGTAAAACTACAAGTCCTATGGAAAAAAGTTAAATGGCAAAGTTGTAGGTAATAAAAGGATCTACAACTTTTGTAATTACAATTTTTTTACATAACCTCCAAATTTATGGGAAAAATTCAAAAAACCAAGTTTTTGGTTTTTTATTTTTATCTTTTAAAAAAAAAAAAATTTTTCCACGAAATTTGGTGAAAACTTACCTTTTTATGTCCCAAATACACTGTAATTTATTTGATTTAAAATATTTATTATTTCGCCTTATTTTGACTTAATATCAAAAAAGCACCCTAATTTTCAATCGAAAATTCTCGCGTCAAAATATCAGCTTTTTTCAAAAAGTCGGTGTGCTTTTTGTTTGTTGAAATCTCTACTTTCTGATGGTGTAAAAATATACATTACTATGGTAAATGTTCTCAGAAAATGCAAAAAATATTATAATGAATAACGAAAAAAACTCGAATTCGAAAATTTATTTTAATCATTATGTACAATTTCATCAAAAAAATGTGATTGTTGCAATTTTTTTTAGTTAAAAAGTTTATTTATTAAATTCTAATAACATTTATGTCAGAAAATCTCATAAAATATAAAAATACATGTAAATCATACTATTGAATTTAGATACTTCATTCTGATTACGTTATTCATTATAATATTTTTTGTATTTTCTGAGAACATTTACCATAGTAATGTATATTTTTTACACCATCAGAAAGTAGAGAGTTCATCGAACAAAAAGCACAACGACTTTTTGAAAAAAGCTGATATTTTCACGCGAGAATTTTCGATTGAAAATAAGGGTGCTTTTTTGATATTAAGTCAAAATAAGGCGAAATAATAAATATTTCAAATCAAATAAATTACAGTGTATTTGGGACATAAAAAGGTAAGTTTTCACCAAATTTCATGGAAAAAATTTTTTTTTTGAAAAAGATAAAAATAAAAAACCAAAAACTTGGTTTTTTGATTTTTTCACATAAATTTTAAGGTTATGTGAAAAAATTGTAAATACAGAAGTTGTAGATCTTTTTATTACCTACAACTTTGACATTTAACTTTTTTCCATAGGACTTGTAGTTTTGCCGGAAATCGAGATAAACCATTTTTTACCCTTAAAACCCCCCCCCTCTCACTTCCCGAACTCAGATCGCCCGTAATTTATTTTTCCTTTAATTTTTATTATATTCCCATCCTTTTCCAATGGGTTTCATCCTACTGTTATTTTTTTTCTCTTTTTACCATTTTTAAAGGCTTCTGCACTGGTCTATATTTTTATTTAGAGTTTTATTTTTATTTTTAGTTATTTTTATTTGAGAAATCTTTTTTATTAAGAATACTATTTTTGTTGTTGCCCTAGTTCTCAAGGAAAAAAATCAAAACATTTTATTTTTAGGATTCGGGTATAAAATATTTAAAAAGAAAATTAAAATGTGCATCTCCACTCCAACGCAGTTTGCTTAACACTAAATCATTTAGTCTAAATGCAGCCAGAGACTCTGACCTCGCTTACAATTCGCACGCATCCGGGGCTCTGGCCAATCAAATTCTATTTGGCGTTCTATCCTTGTTCTTTTCACGCGGGTATTGAACAGCCGTCCTTTCCAGTGCGGTCGGACTTGCATTTGCAAGCACTGTATACAGTGTAGTCGAGTAAAGTACGGTGCGAAACAGTGCTACTATTTGGGTGACTATAGTATGTATACATAACGGTACAGGTGAAATCAGGGTACCTGTTCTCCGAGGGGTTAATAGAAACATTAAATAATTCCTCAAAAGGCAATCTCTCAACGGTGAACATAGGAGTGAGGTTCGTGCGGACACGAAGTAATAAAGTGACAGGGGACAGGTCAAGGAATCACCTATTTAAAGAAAAAACAAGTCTAACAAAGAGCGAAAGGGATCATCACCATCACCATCACCAGCCGACTCTGATAAGTATTATTGCATGACCTAATACGCAAATCTGTAAAAAAAAAACTGGCAACAATTAACCATTGCCGAAAACAGCGTAAGTGTGCGAAAAGGAATCAAGCAGGAACGTCGCAATATTATATTATTGTATTATATATATTGTATAATATACGCGACTTGCAACTCAGCCACAAGGCAAAGCTTGAAGGAAGGTAAATAAACAAAGCGCCCACGCAATAACATAACGTAAATAAACCATCTATTGAAGCATACGTTACACGCCTGATACCGGGGCCGTTTCAGATTTTAATGCGAAGCACCACAGGGCCGGCTATTTATTTTGTATTAAGCTAGTTTTAAATTAAATTTGAAAAAAAGTATTTGTCACCATTAACATTGCCCGTATTCATTTTATTAAACATAACATTTATTTTACTTGAAATGTTAAAATAACTTTAAAATATGATTATGTTAAGATCATATTTTACTCTTCAAACAATTGTTTTGTTTTAATTACTATCATTGCAAAATTGTATTAAAAAGTGTTAAAAATTCTTACACGGGCAATGTTAATGGTGATAGGTATCGTTAAAGTGTTTATTGGGATATCTTTAAAACCTATGAAGGGCACGCGGCTTGGGGCAATAAGTCTGTCAACAGCAAATGCGTAAGGCGGTCCCAATCGAGACCGAAAATAAACACTGGACTGACAGAGTAAACTAACATTGATCACATAATTCTAACACATTAAAAAAAAAGGGCCTAATAGCCAAACTCGAGATTCGTAAACATTAGACAACAGAATAATCGCGCTTGTGATTTGTTTGACTAGTGAATAAATGCAATGCTTTGGAATTTGATAAACAAAGACGGAACTCTACCACAAAACGTGCTTGGGACAAAAATTATTAAAAACAACTGACACACTTTACCAAGGGCAGGAACTATCTGACCAGGACAAGGACAATGACAATAACGAACAAGACAAAGACCTCGACTAGGAGACTACACCCCTGCAGCGAAATAACAACTCCCCAACTCCAAATAGTAATCCCAAATGTTTGGAGTAATACTAATCGACTGGTCTAGGGGGATTCCGCGTCGTACTTAGTTTTAAGTCGGCGTAATTGTCCCCCAAAAACCAACTCCCTCCCGTCCCTCATCCATACCCCACCGAGCGTATAGCATAGGCTCGGCGAACCCGGGAATGGCTATTATAACTATTCGCCTCTCGCTCTCGAGCCCCAAATAGGGGACAGTACGGAACGCAATGGACATTCGCACCCAGCAAACACGGGTGAAGCCGTGCAGTTGCTGGGGAAGAACAAAAATCGGCGTAAGTAAACATAGGCCTGTACGGGGTTCGAGAGTCAAGAGGAAATGGGGCTGGTTATACGTCTCTTATACTCATACTCATACTACAAGTAATGTTATGACTTTAGGCATGTTTGTTCGTGTGGATTGGTCAAGCAGAACAAGATGTTGTTGATGTTTTATTTATTTAGTTTTTTTAAGATTGATTGGTGTCTGGTGTAGTATGTGATGGTGTTGTCATGATTAAAAGTTTTTCTATTTGTTAGCATGTTTGTTGGTGTGGATTGGTCGGGCAGTACAAGATGTTGGTGATGTTTTATTTTTATAGTTTTTTTAAAGATTGATTGGTGTCTGGTGTGGTCTGTGGTGCGTTTTTTTTTTCACACAAGGCAAGGCAAGTTATCACAACTTTTTATAGAATAATAAAGGTCACAAACGCAGATGTCGGAACCATCTACGGAGGGCGCCGCCACTACCATTCCCGTGGTCACCGAGGAGGTTGACCACTTCCATGAGGCCGAAGACAGCATCGTCGACGAGGCGGACCTCGTAGCCCCAGGTCCACTTTCCCCGCCATCCTCGGATGCAACCATCGTCATGGAGAACCAACCCGGAAGAATACCGATGCCGGTGACGGGCGATTCTACGATTTCGACCGCCCCGGACTATCGAGTACAACAGCCGTGTTGAATTCGACAGTCAACACACACATATATATAATAATATTCGAGTGCGATTAATCAAGCAGACAGGATACACCGACGCTGAACTGAGTAGGCGTCGGTCCCCTATATGCTTCGTTTTTTGTTTTTACCCCGTGATTTGTTTCTACTATCTACTTTCTACGTGCATGAGGTTAGTGATCATTGTATGTCCGTCCATATTTTTCTATTGTGTTTATTTCATATTGCATTGTTTATTTATTATTATGTGCTTGCTACCAATTTTTATTACTTAAATGGCAACATGCTTATACATATAAGTTGCTATTTCGTGCCATGTGATGCAAAAAGCGTACATAAAGCAATTATAAATCAATTAAAAAAGGATGACTTAAAAGTTGAAAATATGATCGGAATCGGCGTTGATGGAGCAAATGTTATGGTCGGTAAACATAATTCGGTGACTCGGTTAAAAAGAGAACTACCGGATTTGATTATTGTAAAATGTGTTAGCCACTCCTTGCATTTATGTGCGGAAAAAGCGACTGAACTGTTACCACGACAATTAGAATTTCTTGTGAGAGAAACCCATTATTGGTTTTCATACAGCCCTAAACGTTTGGACTATTATACAAAATTATTTTAAACCATGAATGATAACAATTCCTTAAGGATACAAAAAAAATTCCAGGACTTAGCGGAACCCGCTGGCTCGCTCGCTATCAAGCTATTGACACAATATTAGAGCAGTGGGAAGATTGAAGTTGCTATTTTCAATTGCTAAATCTGAGGACAAATGTTACATGGCAGAGCAGCTTTACGATATTATGAGAAGACTACCATTTAAAGCTTTTTTGATTTTTTTAAAAAACGAATTAAAAAATGTGACTCAATTAAATTTACTTTTCCAGAGTGATGATGTCGAACCTACTAAATTATTTAAAGATTTATTTTTATTATACAAAAACTTGCTAAAACGACTTGTTGTACCTAAACAATTGGAGAAATTGGTGGACTCGGAACAGGTAGACTTCAATTTCCAGGAGCTTCTAATGCATACAGCATCAATGTATTTTGGTTTTGATTTTCAAAATATATCACAAGAACTTGAAGCTATTGACTTGTCTGATGTCAGAGAAAGATGCAAGAATTTTTTATGTTGTCTGGCAGAGCAGATCCAAAAAAGGCTTCCGGATAATTTATCAATGTTGAAAACAGTTGCTGAGTTGCATCCAAAAGTCGCAACATCTCAAGTTAAACCCGATATAAAACCAATATTGAATCACATTCAGTGAACTCATATCTATGGCAACAAAAATGACATCGAATCTGAGTGGCACCAATTGAGTAATAAAACATGGTTAAATACTTCTACTTCAGCTGATTTTTATTTTGAAGTTTATAATGATTGTGATGCAGCTGGGCGAAAACGCTTTGAAAATGTCTCAAAATTCGGATTAGCATTTGTCACGGTTCCAATTTCAAACGCAAGTGTGGAACGTGCCTTTTCCATATATAATCTTGTTAAGAATAAGGTGCGAAACAGCCTTTCCCTTGAAATGTTACAAAGTATAATGATGGTAAGGTTCACATTGCAACGAAATGGCGGATCTTGCATAACCTTTAATCCATCCACTAAAATGTTACGTTTATTTAATATAAACATGTACGATTTTAAAAGAACTGATTCAGAAGACGAAATTTTATTTGATGTTATACACAATTTTTGAATAAAGAATATTTAGTACTTTATTATTAATTATATTAATTTATTATATTATTTTTTAAATAATATTATTTGTTTAGGAGGATTTCCAAGTAATTGTGGCGATTTTAGGGGGTTTTGACTTGGCTTTAGGGATAAATATTTTTGAGAGTTGGCAGCACTGCTACATTTAACGCGTTCTGAACTACATTTAACGCGTTCTAAAATATATTTGGCGTTCTAAAATACATTTGACCATGTAAGCGTACACACCCCCCCCAGCAAAGAATCTGTAAAAGTTACACCCCAAGTGATAAATGAAATATAACACCACGGCAAATGTTATACTTATTAAATTACGACAAATAAATAAAATAAATACTTACGGTAATAAAGCTCATTAATTTAGTAACCCAAGGTACTTGTGAGGTGTTGTATTCATGGGGAAAGTATTTAAAAGGGAAATAAAAATACAATAAATAAAAGACAATAAATTACGCTTGAACTCAGGTCAAACACCCGGAAGGCTCCCGTTTATTTTTTTATTAATATCGCTCATAAAACCTTCCAAAATGAGGGATTATGGGAGTAAGTTACACGTATAAAATATTTAATATTTATTACAAATAATAATGATATTTTTCTGGACAGAGCAACAAAAACAACCGCAACCCAAACGACATTTAACTTAGTGAACTCTGAAAGAAAATGACATCCTACAAACCGTTAAAACCACACAATATCTCCCTACTGTGACTACAACCCACATCTAATATAAATAAATAAATATATAAATACTAGGGATAGAACGATACCGATATTGATATCGGTATATCGGCATATCGGCAATTGTTTCCGATTATCGGTATCGTATCGTATCGGCAAAAAAAATTGCGCTTTTCACTCTTCAGTGCATAAATGAAATACTTTATTAAACAAAATAAAAATTTTCTTACTTTTAATATTAAAAAATAAGAAAAACAACCCTTTTAGGAAACAATAATAGCATATGGCAACAGCGCGGCATGCAGTTTGATCTACTGTGTTTGTTCAGTAGTTCCGACGCTGTCGTAGGGAAATGTGTATAGTTTTTAAGAAATACATTTTCGCCATTAACTGGAATTTAATGGATTTTAAACAATACTTAGTTTTTATTTGCAGAAATGCATTAAAACAAAACAAACGAATTCGATAAAAATAAAACCTATAAATTCTCAATCCCTACCACAGTGGGCGGGGTTTGGCACTTGTTTTATTTAAGTGTATCTATTCGTTTTAATACACACTGTATAAGCGGCTTCCCAGAAATCCGAAATGTCACTCACTACCAATCACAAACGTTTCCTCGCAACGGAATTAAAACGGGACTTCCCCGGTTTTTGCTTCGGTATATCGGCACGTAAATATCGGTATCGGCCGATATATCGTATCGGCAAAAAAAAGTGATATCGTTCTATCCCTAATAAATACCATCAGATAAATAATACATCATACTAGAGCTTAGCTGTCGTATGTGTTCCTCATTTTTCATTTTTATTTTTTATTTTGTTTGTTTGTTTGTTTGTTTGTTTGCTTGTTTATTGGGTGAAAGTAGATTGAGTCTTAGTCTCCATTTTTGTATTTTAAATTTAACTGTATTCATCAAGCATTCCATCTGCATTAGGCCTCCATCATCCAAATAAAGTTTTTATAATTATTTAGTGTTGAATTTAAGTTTACTGTTACACAAATTTTCATGTAATATTTATTAGAGTTCAGGCTCAATCAACTGTTAGAAAAAGGAGTCGAGGTCATTCCAATTAAGGGTCCGCAATTGCCCATTATGCCTCATTAGTCGGCAAACTTTAATAACTTAATAATTACCATAAAATACTAGGTCATTTTGACCAAATCACAAAAGGCAATGTCTGCGTTGCGCATTTAGATGAATACAGACCTTTCAACACCTCTTAAAAAGGAGTAAATAATAATCGGCTTCGAGGTCATTCCAATTAAGGGTCCGCAATTACCCGTTATGCCTCATTAATCGGCAAACTTTAATAACTTAATAATTACCATAAAATACTAGGTAATAATTTGACCAAATCACAAAAGGCAATGTCTGCGTTGCGCATTCAGATGCATACAGACCTTTACACACCTCTTAAAATTTACAGGATAGTAATTCAAAATGGGCTCGTTGCATCAGGACTCCACGGGCAGTGGATAAATTAAATGTCGCTATCGTACAATCACTGTTGGTACTCACTCCAAATGTAATACAAAATATTTCAATATGACTGGTAAAAATCACTTAAATAATTATGGGACATAAATGTGAATCTGCGAGTATAATTTAATAAATCCCGTATTCAAGAAAATCGATATTAAATACACTTAATTTACACAGCGTTTATGGTAAATCCCCTTTTTGAAATATTTATTTAAAATAATTAAATAATCTCAAATACAGTCCTGACATTTAGCTAAATTAAATCCAATACGGCCCTGTCCTTTTAATTAGATAAAATACCCGTAAAAACTTGCTCTTTTAATTAGATAAAATTAAGTACCATTTGTTTATAACGTAGAATCTAAATTATAATACGAAATACCTAGTTCAAAAGTAAATTTATTTCATGTCGATTACTACGGGCGTGGTTTCTAAAACGGCAGCCATCATGGCGGAATCGTTCGATCTATAACGCCAAGTCAATTGATCGAATACTTATCTTTACACAAGGTATTTGTGCAAACCAATTATATAATTATATAATTGGTTTGCAAAAATACCTTGTGTAAAGATAAGTATTCGATCAATTGACTTGGCGTTATAAATCGAACGATTCCGCCATGATGGCTGCCGTTTTAGAAACCACGCCCGTAGTAATCGACATGAAATAAATTTACTTTTGAACTTAAATTTGAAGGTTTGTACATTTTAAATTATTGTAGTATAAATATTCTCGAGCATTTTGGTATATACCAAAATGCTCGAGAATATTTATACTACAATAATTTAAAATGTACAAACCTTCAAATTTAACCACTTTTCTGCACACATAATTTCGCACCTCCAGTCGCTGCACGGCTCTTCTCGAATTCTCCCTTTGTTCTTTCCTGCCCGTCTGACTGCCGGCATTCTTCCCCCCTTCTATTTCCCACCTAAACACGAGATTCTTTCTACCCAATGGGTTATGTCAATTGCATTTCCGTCGCGCTAAATTTAAATGTTAGTTTTATTTACATGGCTTTTTGAATACATTTATTTTAAACAATTAGGATCGTAATAACCCATGGATTGGTTATTAGGGGGGGTATTTGCAGATCTCCTCAACCATTTAGAAATACATTTGATGCTTTCTGAAATACATTTGACTATTCCGAAATACATTTAACGCATTCTGAAATACATTTGACTATTCTGAAATACATTTACCTAACGCGTTCTGAAATCAGTGGCAAATCAAAGTCATACAGATTTTATATCATTTTAAATTTTTATTTTTTCTTTAAAAAGAAGTATTAAAAATATAAAATGGTATAAAATCGGTAAAATTTTAATTTTTTTAATGAAATTTAAAATTGGTCGATAAACTATGTTAAATAATAAATTGCACCAATTAAATTTATGGGTCATGGGGCCGGTACGGCCGAGCAAAAAGTTATCTTTTTTTCGCAAACTTCAATTTAAATTCTGCTTGCGCAGAACTTGTTTATTTAATGTCATTATAAACTCATATAAATTTGGTGTGGGTCCCATATCTAATAATTGAGATATCGGTATACCCAAAATGCACCAGCCGCCACTGTCTGAAATACATTTGACACTTTCTCAAATACAATTAGAAAAGGTGTTATATTAATACTAGTTCGAAAGTGCAAAATTTTTGCTAAATTTAATTTTTAATAACATTTTATTTTTTTAACGCGCATTTTTTTTAAGTATATAAGTTGTTGGCGGTACAACTTTTTAAATTATTAACATAAATTATCCATGTTCCTTAATAAAAAATAAAAAAATCATACCTATACCTAAACAGTGGCGAAACTTCGAAATTTGGCCCCCCAAGCAAAATTCGAATTTTTTATCAATATGGGCCCCTTCCAACAACCTACTTTCCACTTTTAAATAGTTATTTTTACTACGTAAATAGTTAAAGTTTGACTAATTAAATATAAGTCACCATCTATTTCTGAGAGTTAAAAGTAACTAATTTCTTTAATCGTTTGCGGCCAACAACAAAGTATTATTTGAATCCTAGACCAAACCAATAGATAAGGGTGAAAATCAAAAAATCTTTGGAAAACGACCTACAACAATTAAAAAACTAAAATGTTGCTTTTTGTCCATTAAACTTTTTAATATTCTAAAATAAAGATTTCGCAACATAATAAAGCTTATCTTTGAGATCAAGGAAAGGTAGTTTTTTGTTATGTTGATAATTGTTGTCTTCTGATCTCAATTATGTCTAGTCGGTAACAGTATAGTTTGTCGGGAATAAAGGTTCTGTAAATGGAATAATAATCAAAATATATGTTTAAAAAAATACTTATAGTAAATACCATTATAATCAAAATTGCAAATATTGGTGTTATACATCAGAAAAA